GATTTATTTAAAACTTCAAATAAACATTTTTGTTTTATAAACATAATAGGGCAAGAAAATTCGACAGGAAAAGAACCGGTATCAAGAGTATGTCTGGGATGTATATGCGAAGCTGCTTCTGGATGTAACATTACAATCGGTTGTGATGGATCCGTTTGTGGACCATTTCGTATAACATGGGCTTATTGGGCTGACGCTGGCAAACCAATTATTAACGATAGTATGACACAAGATGGTTCGTATTTATATGTGATTAAATATATAAGATGGTCTAAAAATCAATCCCAACGGTTTTTCAGGCCGATAGTCGGGCAAAAAAATATTTCGAACAAAATATAATTAGATTTCATTCGATTACAAATTACACTATTAAGAATTTCAAAAAAAGGTTTATTTCTATGAAAAGTCAAGGTCACTTCTATGTTCTTAAATAAAATTATACATGTTTTTTTCATCATTCGGTGCATTTTTTAATTCTCTACAAAGAAGTCTGGTATTTGGGTTGAAAAATGATTAGTTTAAGTAAAACTTGCCATATGGAAGATAAGGAAAGATAACGCAGTACTTTTCTGCTTTCGTTCTGAAAAATTGTGAGGCAGACCACCCATAATATATAATTGAAATTATATAATTATAATTATAATTATATAATATAAATATAATTATATAATTATAATTGAAAATGCAAAATAAAGCAATAGAGCAATAAAAATACTTGTTTTTCATATAGCGTATCCACGATGCGTGAATGATGTACACTGTGCAGCTCGTACAGTAGAGAATTATATGTGGAAATATGGTCAGGTACGCGCATATATATTATGCATACAAATATCTATATATACATATTGTCATGCAATTGTTTACTTTCCCTTTTTCTCTATTGTTTCTATAGGACTGTAACGGTGATGGCATTATCAATTGTGATGATTATGTTCGTATTCATCAATTAGGAGCATACGGATGCACTAGTTCTTTAAACTCAAAATTCGAAAATATTTATAAGCATTGCATGCAGACTTTCCAGAACCAATAATTGGTAAACAATAATATATAAACATTTAACTGTAAGATTATACTACACATGTATACGTGTGTGTGTTCCAATAAATTATAAAAACAAATGTATAAGAATAATTTTATTTCAAGAGAAATTTCATTTTAGACATATTTAGGAATATGTTTAAACGTATGTATTATTGATAATGCTTATTAGTTGTAAAAGTAATTGACGTTTCGGTATGAAATGTAGATGCTATTTATTTCGTTTCAACTATATTATTATATTTTTAAAAAAATTACTATATTTTATTGTACTTCAAATTTAAAACTCAATTTTAGATCCATGTAAAATTAATAATTTATCTACAAATTCGGTTCTCCCCTTTAGCATTGTTTTCTGTTTATCCAAAATATTATATGAATGTATATTTTTTACTAAGAAGCAATTTATAAATAAACGAAGGCTTTCTCTAAAAGTTTGTAATTGAGGAGGAACAGAGATCCTTTCAAACACTTGTATACAAGCTTGTTCATTTTCATGCAAAAGAATTCCCAACATAATTTGTCTAAGGAATTTCATAGTGTGCCTTTCTAATTCAGTAAAATGGATGACCTGCAATAGAATAATAATACATAATATTTGGAATAAGCATTTCTTAGTTACTGAAAGTTATAGCACTTACTTTTAAAACTGACAAAGCAAGACACTTTTCAATAAATAAATGTATTAAAAATTGTGCTAAATTAAACAATTGTTTATTGTTGTATGTTTCCAGAGTTTTTAATTTGTCCCAAAGCGTGTATTGTATTGTGAGCTGAATCCAGCAAAAATAAATTATTATAATAAAATGTGAATAAGTTATATAACATATGCATGCATAGAATGTAGAAAAAAGATTGGTCAGTTCTTCTAAGAAATAATGAAAGTTAGCAATCTTTAATTATTGTTGAATATAAACACTAACCATGCATGTTGTAGCAATAGTGACATTAAAGAATTCCACATGCACATTTATATATAACATTTTCTGTACATAATTATTGTAACTTGAAAATTAAATGTTTGATTTTCCAATAAATATTTACTTTTACATTAAATCATATTTAATACTGAAATGTTATTTTGACTAATCTTTCTTATACATCCCATGTAAATAACTATAAAATATAATATTAAGTACCTGATACTTTCTGTTATATTCACACAACTTTTGAGCTAATATTGCATAATAAGGATTAAACTTATTTTCTTGTAAGCAGCAATGCATTAATACATTTATGATTTCTGCTTCTTGTTGATTCTTTAAACCAAGATGATGCAGTTTTTCAAATGCATCTAAATAATCTTCAGCTGTCATAAGGATACAGAAAATATTTTTTCTTGTATCAGTATTCATTCTCTGTTTTCGTGCCAATTCCAGAATTTTTGCACCAAAATTAAGCTTATCATATTCTATTGCATTTCCTTTATCATTCACATTACTTGAACCAGACCATGCTGATCCTATAATCCACCACTTACCACTTTCATCAGCTGTAATGAAAAATAGATAAACTTTCACCTAACTTATGTATATAAGTACATTGTGTTTTAATTGTTACAAATATATCATTTACCATGTAATAAATCCATTAGAGACACATTGAACTGTGTTATTATATTGCCTTTGCGTATTACACTTTTTATAACTTTTTTCAAATGCTCCACGTGAGAAGGATCATACTGAGGTATTTTATTGATATTGTTATTTTTTATTGCTAGCAAAATTTCCAACATAAATTTAATTCTTGAACTGTGTGATAAAGAAAATTATTAAGATAAATTCTAATAATTTTCGTTCTGTATGTGTGCATGCATACGTGGGAGCGTATGTGTGTATGTATATTCAAAAAACATTAGATAACCTACTTTTCTCCATTTTCGTGACTAGCTTTTCGCTGTAGACTTTGTATAAATTCCTTTAAAGCACTTGGATCATCTTTTCTCAATGAAAATCCCACTGTTTTTAGAATAAGTAATATCAATTCAATCTCTTTTTCTGTAAACTTAGCCATCAATTTATCAAGTATCTGATAAAGGAGCTTATATCCAAATACCTACATAAAGTAAATTTAAAAAAGCTATTTAACTTTATGTTTGCTTTGATATAGATCATTGTTTAATCAAATTTCCATACTTTAAAATTATATAAATGTGAAATCATGAGAACAACATTATCCAATTCTTTGTTTGCTACATCTTGTAACTTTTCCATCATCTCAACAAATTGTTTAATAAGCTTTTCTAAAAAATTAGCTCCCACTTCAATACCAATATTAGCATGTAATATCGCAATTAACATCATATGCTCAGAAATAAGACGATCTGGTGTAAGTACATGTGATACTAAACTTTCAATCACTAATTCTGATAGTACATTGTTCATATTATTACGACTATTTGTCATATACATTTCTTCTATCTGTAATACATAACATAATATATAAATCATGCAATAAACAAATTCATCATAAATATATATATTTATTTACATAACTATTGTTTGCTTTACGTATATAATTATATAATTACCTGGTTTGCTATACTATACATATTCTGTTCTGTCACTCTGTTTAAACAACCCTTTAATTTCTTTTTTAAGGAAAGCAATTTTTCATCATTAAGATTCATATTATGCATAGTATTTGCTCGTACAGCAGGTGGAACATATCTGCTACTATTATGTATAATATTGCCTTCTTTATCTCTTTTTCTTCCATAAATATCTTCCCATGTATCTTTGTCATTGATGTCAATATTATCAGGTTTTCTAGCTTCTGCCAATTTTGTCTTTTTAGTCTTAGGTACTTTCACTTGCATAAGTTCGTCTGAATCACTGTTGTTATCAGATTGTTCCTTAACAAATGCATCAAAATCAATATTTTCATTCTTACTTTTATTAACAGTATCTGAATTGATATTTGCATATTCATTTCCTCCCACTGTTTCTGATGAATTTGTATCGAGATCAATATTAAATTCATTTTCTAAGATCTTTTCTGTTTCTATGATATGTTTCCTATCTTTCTCTAAACAAAAATCTAAAAGATCTAATTATATATTTATAATTATACATTAAGGAAATTAATAACAATAACAAATAAGTTACAATGTGTACATAATTACACACAGAAATTTTTATAATAAAATGAAAAGGATACAGTCCAAACCATCTGTTACAAAAGACTTAGGAATTGTCTTATTTTTTCTTTTATTTAATTTCAATCTTTTTTCTAATTTTTTAATTTCTCTGTCCTCTTTTAAATTAGCTTCATTAAGTAATTTGTTTTTTTTATTTTTCTTTTTATGTTCAAGTTCTTCAAGCTTCCTTTTTTTAATTTCTTTTGTACATTCCTTATATCCTTCTTGTATTGTTTTATCAACTAGCTCGCTATGATTTGTTTTATTATCATTGACGTACCCACGTGTAGTACGTAATTCATTTCTGTTTTTTAAATAAACTGATCTATTAATTTTCTTTTGCTGCCTGAGCTCTTTGCGCATTTGTTTACGGGATTTCCCTGCTACTTTTAAAGTTGACCGTTCTACTTTCTTAGTTTTTAATTTCTTTCGTTTAAGAGAACTCATTTTTATTCTATTAAGTATTTAGGTAGGTTATGGATCCTGTCGAAATTTTACGATATAATTACTGGGCTACGTTTTTATCGTTTATTTTTTCATAAATGTAATGAAGCACAGAAGCATGAAAAAACTTACTTCTCTTACCAACTATCTGGTTGAAGAATAAATTAAACAATTTTTATCGCTAATACTTATGACATATTTAAATAAATCATCCATTACTACGTTTTCAAGAGTTCTAGACTTGTGGCACCACTGATTCGTACGCAATTTTTATTGAACACATCTGTATAAGTAGGTTTATAAATTTATAAATGTATGTTAATGTAAGTACATTTATTTAACAGGAGACTATTTGTAGGCTATTTTTGTCCAAGTTTTTAATATTGTCCACTTAATCATTTTTCACTTCTAAACTGTGAAGGTGACAAGTTAAGTTATATACATATAAATTAAATGATTTGATACGAAGAATAAGATGAAAATGTTGATGCAAGTATCACAAAGTTCCTTGACAGTTATTTTTACTAAAAGGTAATTACTCTAATAGAAAAAAAGAATTTTACAGCGATATAAGTATCTTTCACTTAACCTTGTCAAGCTCATATTTATAAATCAACTTTTATATTATTAAATGTAATGGTATTCTTTACAGTGCAATACGAAGAAAATCTTTTTGTTTTTTAAAAAAATGTGATTTTTCCTCCCAGAAGGTACCTAATAATAAAATAACACGAAAATCAATTGTTACACCATTTCCTCCATTAACCAAGCCAATACCTAATTTACCTAAAGCAATCTATGCTACTGCTAAAGAAGAACATCAGGTTACTAAAGTAACAGTTTTGTCAAACGGATTAAGAGTTGCCTCTGAAAATCGATTTGGCCAATTTTGTACAGTAGGCGGTAAGTACAAAAAATATTTGTAAAAAATCTTTCATTTTAATTATTTATTTGTACTATAAAATAATGTTTTACAGTATTGCTTGATTCTGGTCCTCGATATGAAATTGCATACCCCAATGGTATCTCACATTTCCTAGAAAAGTTGGCATTTGGAGTAAGATTTTTAGAATATAACGAAGAATTAGTATTCAAAGAATAAAAAAAAATCGGTAATTTACTCTTTCAGTCTACCAAAACGTACAAGAATAAAGACCAAATAATGCTAGCTCTAGAAAAACATGGAGGTATATGTGATTGTCAAGCATCCAGGGATACATTTATTTATGCAGCATCTGCAGAACGTCGTGGATTGGATACTGTTGTACAAATTTTGGGTGATATTGTTTTAAGGCCTCAAATTACAGAGGATGAGGTAAATGTTTTTATACGATATCATCTTACTTATATCACTCTATTTATAACAGAAAGTAATAATCTTTTATAAATTTCAATAAATCATAAATCAATAAATTTAGGTATATTACTTTCATAGAGTTAGACAAATTAGTATAATCGTTTGTTATATGAAGATATAGAAAGAATATAAAAATTCAACCTGGATATCAAAATTTTTAGATAAATGCAGCAAGACAGATGATTCGATTTGAGTTGGAATCTTTACTTACAAGGCCAGAACAAGAGCCAATACTTATGGATATGATTCATGCGGTAAATAAAAAAAAATATTTCTGGAAAATTTTAAGAATACTCATCTATTGTAAGTAAAATTTATTCTGCATAGGCTGCATATAGAAATAATACTCTTGGTCTTCCAAAGATTTGTCCAAAGGAAAATATTGACCATATAGATAGAAAAATATTATTTGAGTATTTAAAACATCATTACACACCACACAGGATGGTAGTAGCTGGAGTTGGTGTAGAACATGAGGACCTTGTTTTAGCAGTTCAAAAGTAATTATATGTAAAACTGTTAAGTATTCATCAATATAAATCAAAATATTACTAGATTGATTTTTACTAATTTAAAAACTATCTCTCATAGTTTATATCATTTATGCAATTTAAGTTGTGATATTCACTGTTAGGTATAATTTATTATTGTTATTATAGATATTTCGTTGAAAAAAAATCGGTTTGGGAAGAAGAAGGAGAAAAAGAACAAAAGAAGAATAGCTCGATATCAGTAGGAAAATTTTCAAATACAGTTGACGCTTCAATTGCTCAGTATACTGGAGGTTACATACTAGTAGTTATCTCTTTAAATTAAACATACTAGTATTTTTGAATATTATTATTTAATAGTTTTAAATTGTATAATTATATAGGAAGAATGTAATGTACCTGTGTATGCAGGACCTAGTGGTCTACCAGAATTATCACATGTAGTAATAGGTTTGGAAGGCTGTTCTCATCAAGATTCAGATTTCGTAGCAATGTGTGTTTTAAATATGATGATGGGTGGTGGTAACAGTTTCAGTGCCGGGGGTCCAGGAAAAGGAATGTATACTCGTCTGTACACGAATGTACTTAATAGGTAAAATATGAGACAAGTTCTTGTTCTTTGAAAAGCTAAGTATTGTTATAAAATAGTTATTTTGCAGGTATCATTGGTTGTATAGTGCAACTGCATACAATCACGCATACGCTGATACAGGTCTTTTTTATATTCATGCATCTTGTACACCCTCTCATGTCAGAGACATGGTAGAGGTGATCGTACATGAGATGGTTACTATGACAAATAATATTACAGATAATGAATTAGCGGTATGATTTCATTTATAAGTTCTATTGTGCACATGTGTGCAATAATTATGTTTTTCTATCCACTTTTAATCTTAATTGGAGAACTTTTTAATAATGTAGAGAGCAAAGAAGCAATTGCAATCTATGTTACTTATGAATTTGGAACAAAGACCGGTTGTATTTGAAGATATTGGAAGACAAGTTTTAGCCACTGGTTCTAGAAAACGACCAGAATACTTCATACAGGCAATTGGTATTGGTCCTATATTATACTGAAGTATACGGATATTGGTTGCTCAGAACTCTTCATGGAAAATCTATTCTTTTCTCAATTCTTGGTCTGATTCTATCTAGTTATTTCAAAATTGATATTCGTTTTCCTTATTTCAACACATCCTTTAAAAATATAGTAACTTTCCCCAAAAAATGTTGACATAAATCTCTGTTGCTACTCAAGAAATTCTTATCAGTCAATATCCTTATATGTAACTATATATAAATTATATATAAATCTGAATATTACTCATTAATATATATAAACTAGCTGTATTTGTATTATTAATTTGTAGATGAGATATCGAAGGATCATGTAACAAATGTAGCACGTCGTTTACTTAAATCACCACCTAGTGTAGCAGCTCGAGGGGAAGTAAGAACTGTTCCGTCGATCGGAGACATTCAAGCTGGATTAATTGACGAGCGAGGCAGATTGCCTGGTTCCCGTAGTAGATTATCGCTTTTCCGCTAGATCAAAAAAAATTGTTAATCTAAAGATACGTATACGTTCTTTTTAATATCATAAATCTTTGACAAAATTATTCGCACATATACATTTATTGATTTATCATCACACAGGAATTAAATTTTTATATTTGAAATAGCATATATGTAATTTGTTAATTTATTTACGATTAACATTTCAATTTATTTTTAATTTTTCTGTCTATTAAATATATATCCGTATATTGCACACAAATGCGTTATGTAAAAATTTATGTATACAATGTAGCAATACAAATACGAACAATGAATAACATAATTATTACATGTCATATACATTTATCAAGCTAATAGTAAAAAAGAATATATTTATATCTATAATTAATAGACGAGATATTTTTGTGTCGTCTATATTAACGATTAGTGTGATGTACTTTTAAATAAACTATTGCATAAAATAAATTTAGTATTATATTCATTAACATAGTAATAAAAATTACAAAATTTCCAGTACACATTGTTTATTTTTATACCAAAACATTCTTCATGTATACATGAACATTGATTTTGATACAGAAAATTGACAATAAAACTAAGCTTCTACTTCCGCCAGTTTTTTGAGGAAATTAGCTTTCCTTTGAGCAACACAGTTTTTCCTTTCTGCTAAAGAAAGTTTGCGGCGATTCCATCGCTTTTTCACCGGTATTTTTTCTTTAACGATCTTTGTGTGTTCTGGATTTGCACGTATAGCTTCATGTGCGCTCTTATAAATACCCTCAATCTGTAGACAAAAATTATACAAATGTCTTCTAATATATAAAATTATATATAATATATAGAATATTAATATATAAATAAAAAATAAATAATGGAAGTGAAATGTAACAAAGGTTAATGTGAAAAATGCCACGATCAATGCATTTATCTTTTAAAACCAATGCACTTATTATTGTCCAACTGCGACACTGCAAAGATCATGAAATCTTGCAGTAATTATAAGCTGGACGAATGGGTGACTGAATATGTAAACAAAATGTATGAACACTTACACTATCAGCGGTAATACCATTTTTGATGTACTGTGAAAATTGTCGTTTGAAAGCATCGTCATCATCTTCTTCTAATGTTCTCATGTAATTTGCAACATGTTGTCCAAATATGTGCTGCCGATGAACATCAGCATTGAAAGATTTTGATTCACTATCATACCCAGGAAATCTCTTGGTGCTATTTATGGAAAAACAATATAAAAGTTTAAACATATGTTGAAAAACATATCCTGTATTATTTCTATCTTTAATTATATATTATCAGAAACACATTTTTTCATCTTTTTATATCCATGCAAAGACAATAAATTGTATTGTAGAACACAGATACAAAATCATGTCTTGCTACGACTCAGATGACGCGCATGTGTATGGTAACATCATATTTTTTTTCATAATACATCTTAATATCTTTTATAATAATTATGTTAACAAATACCTATGTGGAATATTGAGACCACCATCAACAGCACCTTTCATGGCGCCGAAAACTCTAGCACCAGTAGTTGTACGCATTAAACCAGTATCTAAGTAACATCTGAATGCCCCAGGGCCTTCGTCTAATTCTTCAACGTTATATTCATCACCAGTTACTTCTGTTGTTCCAGTATACAAGGTATCTAGGCCTAATTTTTTCAATAACTATAGAAAAACATATGGTATCACATAATTTTGAAAACAGATCCAACTTCAATCATATTGAATATTATACAATTGTTGTTCAGAAATATATAACAGGGAACAATTAATATCTCTTCAGTTATACATCAAAGCGAGCTGAGCGTTTCATCATTAAACAAATATTTAAGTATAAAAACATATAATTGTAGAATAAAATAATAGAAAAATACTTACTCTTCGTGCTAAAAGAAGACCTGTGCAATAGGCAGAAGCATAATTTGTAAGCCCAACTTTAATGCCATATTTTGGAAGTTCATGACTGTATGCTGCACATACAATTCTATCTCCTTCAATCCTTGAATACGCAACCTACATGTATGATAAATTTTAATAATTGAAAGATAAAAGTCTTTTTAATAGATTTTAAATTATCTAAATATATGTACCTGACAGGTAATATCCTTATTTGATAAACGTACAATTAATCTGTATTTAGGAGTATTATATTTATTTTTATCCTGAATAGTTAATCGTTTACGTGCATAATAATCTGTCTTTCCTTCACGTCGCCTTCTGAACTTAACTTGGTAACGTTTGAAGTACTGTTTATTCTTAACAACCTTTACAAACCCCTAAAAAATGATACATATTACACTTTTTAGATTAAAAGAGAACTATAAACTTTTTGTTTAATCAGTATATAATATTCAGTGACATAGGGAATAATTTTTTCATTCATTTGTCAAAGTGAGCTAAAATTTTCATCACTTAAAAATCAATATTGTTTGTTAAAAGAATTTACTTTTTACGCTTTTAACGCTTTTAACATATTATTTTTGTATCTTTCTTTCCAAGTATACCTATGCTAATAATGTAAATTAAAAATAAAGGGCAAGATCGCACTTTTGATGATATACAATATACAATTTATTGATTTGAGTAATAAACAAAATATATTATTAATATATTACTTATTTCACATTATTGAAACAGTATATAATAATCAGCTACATGTTGTAACATGAATATCATTCCTGGAATCCTTTTGAATAACATGCATCTACTACTTCTTGTAATATCAAATCATTTGTATAAATAATTAGGAATCTTATTTATCGAATTACATTAATCTTTACTTACCATATTACCAATAAATACAATGAAACTTCTTTTCGAAACACTACCTTTGAATGTTCCACGACTTCCACGTATCAAAAGGAAGTTCTCGTGTATACTCGTTGCGACCTCATCGTGATAGCGCCATCTACCAGTTAAAAATTTTACTTCTTATTAGTAGTTAGGTTCCATTAACTTACTGATAGATGGCATTCATTGTGCACAAAATAGGACCCTTTGTGCTAATTGCATATATAGTTAATTATTTACGTAAGAAATTGGAATAATATTATACAGAGAAGATTTCTGGGAGTTAAAGCTTTGATTTAATCCGAACAGTTCGAGAACTCGTCTTATAGATCGAGAAATTTGAGTCCTTTAATTTCGTAAAAACATTAGTTCGACTGTTTCACCACTAGGTGTTATAGTGTTACATGGTGCACTGATTTGGACGATTTTTTAAACTTACTTGAAACTAGGGAGAATATTTAAATAAAACCAGGGATATAATTAATTTTGAAAAATTCCTTGTTCGTATGCTCTAAATTTTCATTTGAAATCTCAAAAGTTAACAAATTTTCTAAATTGTGCCATCTGTCGATTGAACATAAATGTACAACACTTTAGACACAAATATCTCAAGATTAAATGTTAGGATTGGCATACTTATTAATTCATTGAATTTGTTTTTTTACGCTTTATAAAGATATCAAGAAATATGTATATATATAGATTTTTATTTTAAAAAAATTATGATGACCTAGAAATGATATGATGTCCACAATTGCATGTGATCCTTGAAATATCTTTGTCTGTTATATCTTTGTCCTGAGAAGCTTCTCAATTTCTCATATAGTATAATATACGTACCAAATATACATATATGTACATTATATTAATTTAGTCAAATATTGCGTTTATTTGTATGAAATTTTCATGACCTAAATTACGAACGCCTATAAATTTTTTAAAAAAATTCCAGTATCTTATGTAGGGGAAGTATCCTTTTCGTTAGCACTGTTTAAGGAAAAAATCACTTTTCACAGCCCAAGTTTCAAATTTTCAATATGTTACATAATACGATATATACTTTTATATATGTGATAGTACAAAATGATTAGTAGACAATCTAAGCGGTTTTTAGAATGTGTTACATATGTGTGACGTGTGGTAGTAGATGGGTTAAGCAAATAATTTCAATTAACTTATTTTTTCGAAATAAAAATATTATATACAAAAAATATTATAAGGAGTAATATATATTTATTCAAGTTTTTATTTCATGAACATCTTCTGTTCCCCAATCGCTTAAATCCTCCTCCCAGCCATTATTTTCTTCAGATGTTTCTAATCCATTTAGCGCTTTTATGTCAAATACACTTTTTGATAATATTTGTGGTTGTTGTATGTGTAAAATCTGTGTCTTCTTTATCACAGGCTCCATGTCTGTGAAATAATCATATTCTTCTTTACAAGTATCTATTAATTTTGAATTTTTAATATCAAGTTCTGAAATATCGGATATAATACCAGCTGACTTCTTTGTTAATTTCAATTCGCTTGTTTTATTTTTATCTATATTTAATACTGCATCTGTAGTAATCCTTAATGTTGAATCCGAAATCGAAATATCATTGGAATTGGATTGAGATTGAAAAATTGCGTCGGAAGACTGTGAAATTCGAGCATGCATGTCTGCAGTTTCTTGTATGTCCCAATCAGACCACGTGTATTCTTCTTCGGTAATGGAAGAAGTAATCTCTTTTTTATCTTCACCTCCATCTGGAGATGGTCTTTCAGGTAAATCAATTACTTTTTGAATACTATCCGTAGGAATCACGAATTCAGCATTTATACTGTTCTTAGTTTTCTTGTTATCTTTCAGTTTATTTGGTCGTCCATCTGTAAATAACTTCCCTCTATTACCACCGATTACTGTGGCAGCGCCTAAGATTGGAACTATGTCAGCTAATGCTTTTAATGTTGCAGATACAAGATGATCATTTGTGTCTTTAATTCCAACAAGTAATTCAGGAAGTACTTGAGATTTCAATTCATCTACTTGAAATATATGCACAAAAGAATTAAAATATGACAAAAGTACTAAACGTATTGATACATCTCGTATACAAAACATCTGCAATAGTTTGGGTACCAAATAGACTTTAAATGTAGAAATTGAAAATAAGTTACTATCTGTATTGTCATTTCCATCTGTAAATAAAATCATGGATCCTCGATTTATATTAAATTTATATTATTCTCAATATTTATACTCAACTTATATTATTATACAAAATTTGATTTCTTTTATTTTACCTTTTGGTTTTAAAATAAATGGTAAAAGCTGTTCTTGTGCTGTTGTATCTAATAAAACCATTCTTGAAAGAAGTAAACGACCTAATTGTTCAGCTACAATATTTTCAGGAAACATTCTTAATTGTGTTATTAAGGTTCTGTAATATGATTAAAAAATTTTACTATTACCAAACACACAAGAGATTAATAATATTTTTTTAAATATTTACCCAAAAAATATTTCTTTTTCCTTATTACTTTTTAACACTAACTCATTTAAAAATGCATATATTCTCATAAAATCGTGGGTAAAGAATGGATGTTGTAGTACATGGGACAATTCGCACCTTAGAGAAGGATCTGGATTTTGCAGATTTTCTTTACAGAACTGTTTAAACTCTGAAAGACTAGGTACATCATCTAAAAATAGAACAGAATATCTATCCATTAAGATTTTTGTTTATAATTATTTAAAATAGAGTATAATTTTGATTAATTATATACCGTTTACCTGGATCCTTTTGTCTCAATATATCTTCAGCTAAAACTCCAAATGCATACACATCAATTGTTGTAAAATTTGTTAAAGTAATAGTTGCATCTTCGTTAATAGAAATCGCTTTCTCGCATCTGTAGCTTTTTATTTTTTGTAAATAAGAAGAAGTCAAATCATTAAATTTACATAGACATTCCAGTCCTCCAAGTTTCCAACATCCCTCAGGTGTAACATAAATAGAACTTTCGCAAAGATTATTATGAGATACAAATGCTTTTTCATGAAGAAAAACCAATGCACGTAAAATACTATATAAGCCCATGCATATTTGCAGTGTATTCTGGGTTTCTATTGATTGAATTAAAGGTTTAACTTGTTCAGTAGCTAGGAAAAATTTACTACCTTTTGACCATGAAGAAACGTACTTCAATATACATGGATGTCTATATAACATTAGATTCTGAAACGTAAGTATACTATTGTTACACACATCCATTTTTTAATTAGCTAAAATAATATAACTAAAAAGAAAATTAAGGATGATTGATACATGCACATGTGACACTCTACAATATGTAAGGTAATTAATGAATCAATGTTAACCTTTGCAGCTTTCTCTAAAGGCGATGGATTTCCAAAATTTGCATTATAATGTAAAGATGGCTCACTGACAAACACTGAAATCCTTTGTGCATTGTATCCATTCACACAGGCCATATAATGCGTCCAAAAATCAGTTATTTCCACAGGTTTTTCGTCAATTTTCAGCCCATTAAGGGCACTTTTTTCATTCCCCATTAATTTTACTGGTTTAAAAAAAAAGAAGAAATTTATGTATAAATACAATAAAGATCAAAAGCAACAATATATTTTTTGTTATGAAAAATCCTCGTAAAAAATTACCTTACGTCTCAATTTCATTCTACTTTAACCACATCACTATGACGAATTATATACATCGTATGTTCAACTACCTCTTCGGTATTTCTCTGATACGAGATATGATATACGATATACATATGATAGACAACGAAAAAGTGTTTCTGTTGTATTAGACCGATATATATTTTTATTACTAATTTAATTTTTATTAATTATTTTTTGCATCAAAGTCTGTATTTAAAAGTACGAAATATATTAAATATTTTTACTTGTGTGTGTATAATTAAATTATTAAGAATGGGAGAAAAAATGATATCTGAAACGTTTTACTTTTAAAGATATGGAAATAGGTTCATATTAGTCGTAAGACAGTGCAAATACTGCAAAGTACTACGATTATAAATCAAGAATAACGCTTTATCAGTATTCATTTTATTTTCATGTTGTAATTATTTATATAAGTTTGAATTATTCAGATATTTATATAAGTTAAATTTTAATTGTAAATAGATGAAATCATAGATATTTTATAACTTAAAGCTGGCTACAAGGGTCCGTCATATTATTATGTTACATTTTTAAGATTTACAAAGAGCAATTTATCGCACTATTTAATTTCATTATTTTCGCAGCATACAATCAGTAACGTAATTTTGCAGCATTTAAAAACAACATTTAGTTTTAAAATGAAACATACAGAAATACATGTACACATAAACCGAAAAAATAATTATTATCAATATCACGTTCATACATACGTTTTAACATTTTGCCGCTATCTACTTGCATACATTCCATACATACACGGAGTGCTTACTCATCTTTTCCAATGCATACGTAGCATTTCCAGATTCTACATCAGTAGTAAATAATTAAAAATATTTGTAGTCAAAACAGCACATACTTTTCGCTACTATTAAAGGTATCGGTATATTACACGATTATGATAAATTGTTCATTATTATTATTTGATTACATTGTAATCGACAGACCCTTGCGCCTGCATCTTATTTGTAATATTTTTCATATACAATCCAGAAGATCACATCGCACATAAGCGACAATAGGCAAATGGATAAATCAATTATACGTTAAGTCTTTGAAATATTTCAAGATACTTTCACACAACCGGTTTCTGTACTTCTGCGCCGTATTACTTACATGTCCTTCGATTTCTTCATCCATGTGTTGTCAGCCGCTAAATATTCACTTGTAAGGATAATATTATTTAATAATATATGTGTGAAAGTAATGATGTCTATATCGTTAGTGATGATGTTGACAATAAGGGTAATAATATCAATGACAATGATAATGACAATCGATTATGATTATAAAGGTACGCTCTATTATACTAATTGAGAGTATCGTAAAATTGGTATATCAAATTTATAACAATGATTAGAATGATAATGATGACAACAACGACGATGACAACGACGACGGTTAGTGGTAGTATTTTTAAGTAATATTGGTATCATTAATAAAAGATAATGAAATGTAATGAAATATCATGAAAATTATAGCTAAATATCGGAAAATGGTATATGTTATAATGAATATAAAATGTGGTATATGTATTAAGAAATATGAAGCAATACTACTGGAAGAATATTATTGTAATATTAAACGCTGTAGTAACATCAGTAACAGTATTAAGAACAATAACTAATTGTATGTTAATGTTACAATCCATAATGCTATACTATTATAATAATCACATAAACAAAGAGCTGTTGTTACTACTACTTCTACTACTGTTACTATTGGCACTACTACTATTAGTACTATTACTGATATTAAAAGCTATTAGTTACAATGCGTAATAACAATGAATGAAATAATAGAAAACTGATTTATTTGACTAATTATTCTTGAAGCCATAATAATCACTTGCGATATTATTCAAAATTATCCGAGAAAATACAAATTTATTTATGGCAGTAAGTCAAAGGCACCGGTGTCTATTTTTCAAGCGCGTGCTTTCACGCTATTGTTCATACATTTACAGTTATGATTATTAAACTTTTTACGGAGATACTCATATGAAAAAGAGTAAATTAATTAAGCGATAGCAATATTTTTTTATTAAACGTATTTCAGAAAAATTAAAATTGTTATTGATTTGTACTCTCATCTTTCTTATAGAATCATGGAAGAAACTTTAGTAAGAATTTATGTAACTTTTATACGAAATGACGATAAGATTGGCAGTGTATATTTTAACAATTCCATAAAACATATTTAATTAAACGAGTAATCGTCGCTCCAAAAAAATTAATAAAATTTATCTATTTTATATACTATTATTTATTTTAAAAAATTTTGCATAATATTAATAATACAACATTATCGTCATAACGGGGATGTAGAATGGTAGTAATGATGATGATTTCAACGACGATGACGGGCAACGATGGTATTGATAATGAAATGATGATAACGAAGGCAGCAGCAGAAACGATGTCAGCCATATATTACAGCTAATAATAGTAATTATTATTATGATAGTAATGCTGATGATAATAATAATAATAATAACAATAATGATAGGAATAGTAATAGTAGCAACAGCAGCAGCAGCAGCAGTAGTAGTAGTGGTGTTGGTAGCAATAGTAGTAGAAGCAGCAAGAATAGCAGTAGTAATCTCTGTAATGTTTTTTTTTTTTTTGCTATAATAGTATGGATTAGTGATAATGTAATAATAAGTAATAAGTAATAATAATAATAATGATGACAATAATAATAATAATAATAATAGCAGCGGTAATAGTAACAACGACGGCGATGGTGATGATCATATATTATATATGTTGCAATATAGTAATACAATAGAAATAATGATGATGATAATGATGACAATAGTATTACAAATAAAATAAAATTAAAATAAAATAATAATTATTATCGTATTATTGTAGTGCTAGAACCGCAACGAAAGCAAGGAGTATACAATTCTTCTACACATGTACGTTGCGACAGACAATGCTGCAACAACCTATTGGAATATTACTATACATGAAAAATCGAGCGCATTTCGAATTTCTGTAAGCAATACTCCTCGTATCATTTATTTTTCTAATAATCGATACTCTTTTTGAGAGTGGTTAGGTCATGATAATATATTCAGTACTATAAACGATTGTTGCACTATTTATTTTTCACAAGCTTCACCATGACCTCACAGTATATCAATAAACGATTAATGTACACGAATTTCTTTAATTGTCATATTGGGGAACGTCATGCAAATTCGTACGATCATCGCATGTATATACTTTCTTGTTTTAATTTCGATATACACAACAACAGTCTTCTTTATCGATTTGTTCTTTTTTCATTTTAGTGATACTCTACAAATAATAGCGACGATCGTGTAATATCTTTGTCGAACTACGTTTCACAAAAATCTGATTTTAATATTATCGTATACCACAGACCGCCGTCGTGTCCATATACAGAAACATAAGTCTTGTGCACATCTTTTTTATCTTCACAGTTGATAATGTAATTAATTGATTCGGATGATCGATTGACATCGAGTGAATATACGTTGTGCGCGTCAGTCTAATCATTTAACTTCTTTTATTTATTTATTTATTTATTTTTTAACTGAACAACGTGTTAATGTCCCTGATGTTGAAAGACGTAATTTACAGGGACTTTTTCAGATGATAATTATCCTCGATGGTATCGATCAGGTTTCACTTTACTTCGGGTATTTGTCTTACATCCCCGACATTGCTGCCGTCTTACTATTTGCAATACTTTTTCGAACAGAAAGGAATGTTCGATAAAAGCGATTTGTTTGTTGAGAATTCATGAAAGGTAAAACATTTATGATTGTTAATTCGGAGAAGCATTGGTATGTATAACAACAATATCATCTATCGTTTTCCTTCTTTGATACACCATGATTAAATTATTCTAACTAGACATGGCCAAATTATTAATTACGAATTCTAAGCTCGCAAGCCGCTTTAAATCGACAAATATAATATCAGTTGGAGTTCATATCGCTCCACACGTATGACAAGTTAATCATTATCATTTACCTTTCGATCGATGTCGCACCATTATATATGATCGCAAATTGCATTTTCAAAATGTAGATCGAATGTTCTTTGTCACAATTCACTCGTTTTGTTGATTAACTTCTTCCTTATTGTCATTGTCTTGTGAATTTACGTTTGTTTTAGCGCCTCCTTGCTGAGCACCAGAACTACCATCGTTGATTTTATCATTGTGCGAATCTGTCTTTTCATTTGTGTCCATTTTAACGTTTCCTAAAAGGAAAAAATAAAACAATATAAGAATTAGCTTGAATTTTTTAATTTTATGATACTACAACAGTTGTTTATATTAGCATTATTATGATATAATAAATGCGAACCTTGGGTAGAATAGTATTGTTGTTGCATCTTCATATTTCGTTGCTGTTGTTGCTGTTGATGCAGATTCGGTCTGTGGCGGTTTATTTGAACTTGTTGCTGCTGCTGTTGCGACGGCATGCAATTAGGTTGTTGTTGCTGTTGTTGCGTAGGATTATTCGGATTTGGACCCGGTGTAAATGGAACAACTGGTCTCTGAATGGGCGGTGGATATCTTTGTTGCGATGGTTGAATTCCAGCACGTGGTGGCATGCCCATGCCACGAATATTTTGTTGTAAAATCTATAATAATTTCATCATTATCAATCTTTTCTTTTTAATTTAATATTCTATATATTACAATTTTATCAATTGTCCGTTGTAAATATTAGTTACTTGTTATTGTCAATTTTATCAAAAAATTAATTACCTATTTCCTACTATTGTTATCTCATCTCTATAATTATTATTTATTGTTCTTCTAACTTACAATTTGCTTCAGCAGACTGAAAGACTTAATTATAAATGTAAGAACATAGCAAATACAGTTTGTTATTGATGATCTAAGCGTAATGACTTACCAAAGTTGACTGACTAACACCTTGATACTGTTGATATTTGTGATGTTGTGTTGGACTAGGTTGTGGTTGTTGAGATGAAGATTGTTGCTTACAGTTTCTTGATTTCGGAGATGGAATTTGTGGTGCTGCAAAGTTTTCTTGGCATTATATAGATTCCAAAGAACGCCATAACAATTTAATAAAAAGTAATTCAATTTACTAGAACTGAAAACTGATGCAAGCACATCTTGCTGATTCCCCGACGGACTCTTTAATTGTCTAGGCTGTTCTTGTGGTTGATGTTTGCTAAGAAAAGTAGGGCCTGTGTTTGCTGGTCCAGGTAGTCCTCCTGTTGGATTACGAAACTGCTGAGCTGCTGCAGCAATCTGTAACCCCGAACTAGATAAAAAGCCCGAGCTGAAGTTTTGGAGCCCAACAGGAGCAGCACTGCCAGTTGCCAAACTTTGGCTGTGTTGACCAAATCCCTGAAGTCCATAATGAGTACCAGTTTGCTGTGTAGCCCCCCCTGGCTGATAAAAACCTGTTTGCGATCCGGGAAATACATCTAAAATAAATAGAAATATCAAAGAATCATAAATGAAAATATAATAATGATAGTTTATTTTAGGAATTATCAATACGTATACATTTCATTACTTACCAGCCGAAGTTGCGCTATAATAACTATTAGCCGAGGCTTGTACGTTCGGACCGGGTCTCTGTACCAATTGGGAATTGCCCATGTAACTGCCACTGACGCCGAGTACTTGATTTGGATCATATGGTATGTACGTTAACTAAAAAAAAAAAAAGAAAAAAAAGAAAAAAAAAGAAAAAAAAAGATATACGCATCTTGCAAATAATCTGATAAATAACTTCGTGCAGGAAATTAAATAAGTATTAACCATATGTCGTTAAACTAAACTAAGACGTACTGGGTTTGGTTGAGGAGCAGACGGTGCTTGAAAATGAGGAGCTTTAGTTCCGATAGCTCCAATTGGTTGAGAGGATGGCTTCACACTGGCTGACATCAAAGAATTTGAAGAAGAGCTAATAAGAACTGTATTTGGATTATTACTAAGCTGCTGATTTTGTCCAAATGGCGGAGCAGCAGCTGCGGTCTGCGAAAAGTGAACGTTCTTGTATTTTATTATATTATATATACATATGTTCAATGAGATATTCAACAAATTTTAACCATGTGTATTCCCAGTAACTAACATGCATAGTACGTTTGTTTCGTTCTCAATAATTAACACAAAGGTTGTGCATGATATTCGATTCAAGCTTTTAAATTCGACTTAGTTAGTTTACTAATATACTAAACTTTTAAACAGAAAATATCCTCATATGCATATAGTAATAATAGAGTATCTAATTGATTAACAAAATAAAACGAAACAAATCTTTATTGCATATGTTATTTTTTTTATTAAGAGTATATTCAACATATGAATCAAGTTGATCACATAATACCTCACAGAACATCCTGTATATATATTCTTGTATCAAATTAATTTCAGCACCGAATAATCGTTCCTTTTCTTTCTTTATTATTTATTCACCTAGCAACGCATTGCGATAGAGAACGATATTTGATATGTGATTTGTAGTTGCTGAAACGATTTTCTCGAATGGGTACGTTACACAGGGCAATTACTTACGATCCGGTACTGTGAAAGATTGCTTTGATACATATCCGGAGTTGGCGCATTCGGTGCATGCGGTGGCGGAGGTGGGGGTTGTTGCAAATAAACGTTCTGTTGACTGAACGAATTTTGAAGAGATGGCGCATATGGTGGATACTGTGTGAAAGGAGATCGGCTCTGGTCTAACTGAAACGCTCCATAAAGACCACCTGCTTGAGCTGGAAGTTGACCGGAGCCAGTGTTAAATAATACGGCTGGCGGAGAAGGTATAGCAGACATGCTACCATATTGCGCAGCTTGAGATCCTGGATATTGGGGAAACTCCTGAAAAATAAAATAATGATAGTAATAGAACAAAATAGAAATGCACATTAAGCACAATCCTAAGTTACAAAATTTATATCCTATAGCCTATGACAGATTCTGCAATAATGCAAAATACGAAACATGAAAAATATAGGCAAGCATTTCCAAAATAATTTATCACCTGGTAATTAATATGAGAAGGTTGTCCCGTGGAATTGAATGGAGGTGGGCTCAATGGTCCTTGGAGACTGACAGGAGGATGCCCTATAGGACTTTGACCTGCTCCAATAGGACTTGGCCCTGGAACCGTTGAACCAGACTGACCACTGCTGCTGCCCGAGGATTGTTGCTGCGGCTTCACCTGCGGGGGAACCAGCTGCGCATCAGGCAAAGAGTCAGCATCTTCCCACAGGGGACATGGTGTTTCGTTATTTTTAGTTTTCTATTTACATCACTATCAACTGCCGTTCTAATCGATGCTGACGGAATAATGCGAATTTTGGGAAACGATTTTCTCTTCTTTTTCTAAATCTTCTTCTGAATTCTGGTGAAAATAGTTAGGTTCATCGCTAACCGCGTAAGTTTAATTAAGTGAGGAAAATCAATAATAAAGAGATTATATCCAGTAAAAGGGTATAACTGTTGAGATGATTATGATATTAATGCAACAAATAATAAAAGCAATGATAATATAGACAATAAATAATTTGAGAGAAAAAAATATTATAACAAAAATGATAATGATGATGAGCACGATAATATCTTAATAATACAATGGTAACGAAGGCAATTGATATGTAAAATGAGTATTTACTGATGTTAATATTTAGAAGAGATATGCCAAAACAGGAGAGAGAAAAGAATGGGGACAAAAAGAAACAAAACAAAAAGAATGAAAAAAAAAATGAACAAATGACTCTCTAATAGAAATAAAATTGAAACAATGCGCGTTAGCC